TGAATTCGCAGAGAGTCGGCGTGACTTCTACGAATGGGCAACTCGCTCGAGGATGTCGAACTGAGGACACGTGAAAAAGGGTGCCGAAAGATTCATCCCTCCCTCCCCCTCCCTACCCGCCAAGTTGCTCGATCCACCCGGTCGCGAGGAGGAGAGTCTTGAGCCCGAGAATATTACAAAATATGGTAATATCATAGGTATTTATCTCTCGTAAACAACTTTTTTGTTTTTCCCGTTGCCGGAGTCGAAGCGTCGATCCCGAGCAACAGTTACATCAATCTGGATTCTATTCTAAATAGAGGATTTTTAGCGAACTTTCTTAATACTTATTTTAGCTTCCTTTATTTCGTAAAAAAAATGATTTTCATAATTAAATTACTTCTTGTTAAAATTTAGGAGGGGGGAAAACAAACACGGACCTTTGAGTACACTCGTGTCCATATTTGCATATTGCAAACTGAAATTATAATGCCTTACTTTATCTTTTATTGTAGAAATCTAATTTTTTGAGTACTCTACACAACGTGAAGGATCTGTAGGATAATATTCCTGGCATTTGGTCATCAATCTTTTGAGCGCTTGAATGTACTTCCTCTGAGTTTCATCGTTCATAACATGAGCAACATTCTTGGAGAAGATTTTTTCTCTACCAGTACGAGCATGGATACCAACCATAGTTACACCGATAGGCCACGGGGAGTTGCCTATTGCCATTTGTAAATAGGCGTCGCTAGCCTGAAATAAGAATTTGATTCTTGTAGATACAGATACTTATTGTAATGACTTATTTACTTTGCATGTGAGAGATTAGATACATACCAATATGTAGTTACGCTGTAACAAATGCTTAACGATTTCTGTTAAGCTGTCAGTTATATCCTCCGGAAGAGATTTATTCTTCAATTTTCGTAAAAGCGGTTTTAAATATTCTCTCGTTTGAGCATACGTGGCGCTATTCATCTTTCCCTTCGTGCTCATCTTTTCGGCAGTTGACCGACTGTTTAACTGATTGCCCCACATTTGGACTAGATATTGCACAAACAGAGTGATGACATTCATATCAAAGTCCTTATCTCCTTTGTTCAGCTTAGTCGACATCTTTTCTATGTCTTCATAAGTGACACCTTCATCAGGCACGTTCACATCTCCTTTTCCATCAAGATTTTGGGATTTGGAGGATATCAAGATTTCATTGAGATATGCTTGATCCACTTGTTCCATGGCTTCTTGAAAATCGTTTCTGAAGCCCTATTGATAAATTATTGCAAACAATAATAAATGAAATCGATCGGTATATAAATAATTAACCAATAATAGTAAGCCTATTTGATTAAAGTGAATCTTGATATCAAATAGAATAATATTTTTGAATGAATTTATATACATCATATAAATTTTCTATAGTTTAAATTATGCACCAATTATTTGTTGGTTTTTTTGACACAATCTTAACTGAAACTAAAGTAATGTTACAAATTAAATTGATCATTTAATAATACTGATGCTAATGAGCATCTTAAAACACTGTAAAAAATGTATTATAAAAAATATTGCAATCAAAACTTTCATTTTAAGGCATTTTTTAATTGATAGAAATTCTATAGATAGATGTTTTACCTTGTTCACTTCTGGCTCAAGAATTTCACATTTCCTTAATCTTTTGAATGCCTCTATCTCGGATTCACCAAACAACAATATAGGCTCTCCCCGTTCGCGTAATCGCCTAATTACTTCTTGCCTGGACAGCAAATGTTCGGAGCTACTGTCTGTTACATGTTCTTCTGATTGCTGACTGATATTTGAAGGAGTAGCTTCATTATTCCCCTTATCAGTTTCATGTACTTCCTGCTGCTTTGATATCAATTGACTCCTCTTGAAATATTTCTTATTATTTTCCTAAAAAGGATATTTTAAGATAAATATTAGAAAAAAAGCTTTGCAACTGCTGTAAAATTCTTTAATATGGTTGATTTTTGCTCTACATTCTTCTAATTTATTGGATTTACATATATAAACACAAATGAATGCACAATCACGCAATATTATATCACAGAATACAATATGTGACAATACATACCAAGACATGACTTTCTTCTAACTCCTTGCGTTTTTTCATTATTTCTGCTTTTAGAATATCCATTTTGCTAACAGATAATTAGATAAATAAAAGTTCAATTGTACAAATAGAGAACAGATTTCATAAGCTTTTGTTCCAGCAATTTAAATGCATCTTCCAAGAAGAGGTTACATTGTTGACAAATGTGTTAAAACAAATTTGATTAAATTCATACGATTTAATTTTCCCTAAGTTTATTTGATTTCCCTTATTAATCCAAATCTTTTATTATGCAGCGGATTTATTCAATTTTACAGAAATATTCAGAGGGAAGCAACTCTTCACTAGGAAAATAAAGAATTTTTTTCGATCGGTGAAAAACATGAGGCCTGTTCTTAGCTGTGTTCATAAACTTCAGGTGCATCTAGATATTGTTTTATCCTTGTTTAACATTCGGTGAATAACAAGGATAAAATGATATACCGTGAATTCCTGAACGCAGTCCTTTATAGCTGAACTGACCACAGTATAACCACAGTATAACCAGTAGGTCCACTCAGCGAAAAACTGAGTCTTCGCGCAGGTATCGCCGCGCAACTTTTGTTTTGGGTTGGATCCAATGAAATGCAAGACGATAGGAACGTAGATACATATGTGCAGACAATTTATAAGCAATTACATCAGAAATTTTCTTTAGTGATATTACTCCTACGAATAATTGTA